TTGATCCAACATCAAGTGACATTTTTCTTAATCAAAATTCAAAAATAAAATTAGATGGGAGAAGGATTGTGCACCACGAGCCTTAAGTGGTAGAGAAGGAGTGAGAATGGACATCCTTACACTCATTCTGATTATTTCAACACAAGGCGTTCGACTGGGTTGATTGAAATAACTACATCTACCCATACTCTGTAGTGCAATCCTAATCAAGAACAATCTCTTTTCAAAATATAAAAACAACATCAACTCATCAAACTTCTCTTTTTTGCGCCTTAGGGCCACCCTAAAAAAAAAACCTTTTTCAAGGTAAAATCAACCAACAAATAAACATTTTTTAAGCTGAACTACATAACTCTGACTTTCTCATTGCACCATGAGAGTACGTAGACACGAGGCCAACGTCGAGGCGAGCACCCTTAATAAAAGACATATTTTTCCCTTTAGTAGATAAACCTTTAGATGAACAACACCCTTTCATGCGTAGACAACCTAGATGGTTCCCGTTGAGTACAACGGATGTAAGGGGTGCTAATACCTTCCCCTTGCATAACTAACTTTTGAACCCCGATATTTGGTTGCGACGACCTTTTCATATCCTTCTTTTCAACTCCCTTGGGTTGCGTTATTTCATTTTAGAGGTGCGACATATAATTGAAGCTTTTTATATTTTAATTTTTCTTTAAAACCCCTCACTCTATGCCACATATAAACCACCTCATTCATTTATTTTTACTTTATTTATTGTTATTATTATTATTATTATTATTATTATTATTATTATTATTATTATTATTATTATTATTATTATTATTATAACATGTCTATTATATTATTATTATTGTTAATTATTAATTATTATTATTAGTTACTTTTATTTTTAATTATTGTTAAATAAAATTAGATTAATTATTATACTGTTATCATTATTATCTATTATTATTGTTGATATTTATTTAATTATTATTATTGTTGATTATTATTATTAATTATCATCACTTATTTATCGTTAAATTACTATTGTTTATTAGAATTATTGTTTTTACTTATGAGCATTATTCATTCTTGTCTTATAATTATTGTTTTTTATTTATTATTATTATTATTATTATTATTATTATTATTATTTATTTTGATTATTTATCATTTATTATTATGATCAATATTTTTTATTTTTTAAAATTGATTGTTGTTTTTAAGTTGTTAATTTTTATTTTTTTTGGTTTCGTCGGTTTTTTTTACAGATGCACTGTAATTTCGGACTTAAAAATTTAATTTAATTTCAGAAATTTGCTCAAACGCATAGAGTATTGTTGACTGGCCTCCCATAAAACATGACTCGTTCTACGATTTCTTAACATAGCGCTAAGTTATTTAATTTGTTTTTTATTTTGTTTACCTATAAAAATATCTTTTGAAATCATCAATTTTTCACAGATGCACTGCAGTTTTGGAATTAAGATTCATTTAATTTCAAAAACTGTTTGAATGCATAGAGTTTTATTGACCGATCTCAAATAGGGTGATTCCTACATGAATCGCCTTACGATTACTTAATGTAGCGTTAAATTTCAATAGTTTAAAACTCTGATTTAATTCCAAATTATTGTCTTTCTTTAATGTATTTTACATTGATTTCATCACTGTTTACTTTTTTTTATTTATAGTTGTTTATTTAAAAGTTTACACTGTTAATTACCGCATTATACATCCCATTTGGCAAACTGTACCCCATTCTCACAAATATGTAATAATTTTACCGCTCCTTTATTGTTTTATTATCCTAGTTAACTGTTAATCTAGTAATTAAAATCAACAACTTTCGAAAAAAGAACAAAAACAAATATTCGATCCAAAGTTGAGTATTTTTCTCAAATCAAATCCAAATTGAATGCAACATCGAGCATTTTCTCTACCACATCCAAACTCTTTTTATAAATCAAACTTGTAACACTTGATCCGACGTCAAGTTGTTGCTTTTAAAGCTTTCGCAACAAAAATGCTATAAGAGAATTAGGGTTAGACTTTCCCCTTTTCAAATGTTTGAATATTGTTATAGAGCTTTATGTTCGAGCATTTGCTTTCCAATTTAAAATTCAATAATCAACTAAATTAAGTCAAGTTCTTTTATAGAAGAAAAATATGATTGGATATCGACCTTCTCCTTCTCGATTATTTGGATACTGTTGTAGTACTTGTTGTGTGAATAATCGTCTTCCATTATTGAACTTTGACTTAATTTACAACATAGTTTCATAACAACTCTTGAAAGAGAGTCATTAGGGCTTAGGCCTCTTCCCTTCCAGGCATTTGAATATTGCTATAGAGCTCCCTATTTAGATGCATGTCTCCACTTAAAAACAACTTAAATTTTTTAAAAATGGGTATGTTTTATACATATTGATGTGAAAGAAACATAGACTTTTGTCTCCAAGAGTGAGTAGTAATTAAAGGTTTAAAATATTCGACATGTCTAAATGACTACTCCTTAAAAGTAGCCAACCCAAGAGTTCTTAGTGAGTAGAACTACAGAGCTCTAATTTTCTCATTAGACCATCAGAATATGTAGCCACAAAATTCTAAAATCTTGGTGAGCACAATAATAATAAAAATCCTAAGTATTTCCTTTCTTTCTTTCTCTTTTCTCACTCAATAATTAGAAGATCGCAAACTAATATCATGCTAACACTGTAAGGGGTGCTAATACATTCCCCTTGCATAACCGACTCCTGAACCCTATCTAGTTTCAACGATCAGTTTATTTTTTTTCTCATGGGTTTTATCGGTATTTTCTGTTTACCTTTTCAGGAATAAATAAAGTTAGGTGGTGACTCTGTTTTGTTTATATTTTAAGGGTTCTTTACGCTCAGATATTTTTTCGTGGCGACACATTATTGTGTTTTATCACATCAAAGGGAGCAAAAGAAGCCGCAATTTAAGATAAAGTTCATTTATTTCATACCTCATTGCTTTCGTTAATTTTATTCTTGAGTTGAAAAAATGAATGTTACGTTCGGATATACATCATCGAATTCAACTACTATCTGTTTCAGAGATGCATCTCCGAAGTTGTCTGTTACTGTGAATTTTTTTAACTGTTTTTCTGTTTTTGTTTGTATTAGATATGGTGCACTTGAAAATGTTTCTGAAAACTGTTGTAAGTAATGATGTAAAATCGAATGAAGTGAATGATGATGTTAAATTGGATGAGGTGAAGGATAATGTTAAATCGGGTGCTAGACCGATTGATGTTTAGTTAGATGTTGGTCAACAGAAAAACGAAAATCATCTTCATCGAAGAAATGCCACTTCTTTATGAACAAACACATTAAGCGGTTGACAAATGTTAAGGAGGATGGTAATTGTAGTTATCAGTCTATATCCGGCTTGCTCGGTAGAGGATAAGAGAATCACTTTTTTGTCCTATACCAAGCACATCATTGGAGTGGACAACACATTTTACAAAAGAGGCGAAAACTTGGCCAGATCACTTATTAAAAAGGATGAAAAATTTCACCAAATTGAGTGAGCTTAAAAGAGAATTAAATAAGGAAAAGTAGAAAGAAGAATCAGTAGTTGATTTATACAGTGATGCGTCTTTTGAGACATCTTAGATTGTAATCAATACACTTTTTTAATGTATTGCCGTAAACGATGTAATCTTGATATGATTTAATACATAAGTAATATATATTCAACAATGATGGTGTTAGTGTCGACTATTTCAGTTGTGGTTTGATTTTGGTTCATGGTAATTTCGGATGTGCATATCCTAATAAACCTCGTACTTATTAAATAAAAACCATTTGGGAACTTTTCGGATATGCATATTAGTAAACACTTTTTTCCATAAAAAAATCATAGTTTAATCGAAAAGTGACCGGATGACATGATAAGGTTTCTAAGGTCCAAAGTGACCCAATACTTGTATAAATAGGGTGTCGCGCAACCCATATTTTTTAGAAAACACACAACAACCAGAGAATGAATGCATATCTCCACCTTGTATTTGTGTATTTCAACGGCACAAAGTCGTCGTTTCAATTTAGAGTCTATTCTAAATCGGAGAGTTGTCAAGCTCAAGTATCGTTAACCTTCGCTGTAAATATAGTTAACCAACTTTAAAATGAAGACGGATGAAGATAGGTCATGTGGAGTACACTTTACCATTACACATCAAAGAATCCGATTGAAGTGGATACGAAGATTGAAAAATTTGTCGATGATGTTATCAATATGTTACTACCCGTCTAAGGTTAAATATATGTTATCAACTATCTATGTAATGTTGAACGTTTTAATTTAATGTCAATTATCTACGTATCTAGGCTACTTTCGGATATGCTTCTCTGAAATATATTAAGAAAATATTTGGAAATGCAACTCCGAATAAAAAATAGGTATAATTGGGGTGTCTGATCACTTGTTAGCGTTCAATTTTGTAAAAAATAAATGCATCCGGAGATACATTTTCAAAATATGAAACATTTTTTACTTTTTGGCATAGATATAGAAGAACCTATGAGAGTAAGAGTGAGAAAAGAAATTACCAAGAATAAAAGTGGCAAAAAATTCATGTTCTCTCGTTAATATCGATACCACTAAGTGTTTCAGGCTTGGAACTTAGTTTCCTCTTCGTCTATCTTTTCTTTGCCACTGATTAAAACAATAGCTTTACCTTGCCATATTTATTAAAACTAAGCATATACATAAAGTATAATAAGATAGACTTGCAAGAGTAAAAGATAAAAACTGATGGTTCCAATTTTTTACTAAGATGCTATATAATTAAAAGATGGAACATAAGTTAGCAAAAATATGAATGCTTTTCTGTCTTCACCATTTCTCAGCAGCAACACAAAACATAAGACCCATAATGTCATGTACCTAACTGAAAGAAATAAGCTACTAGATTACAGTGCTAAATGGTCAGGAAAAACTTTAGAGACCATTGTTCCTAATTTTACTAAGAACACATAAGAAGTGGGAGATATATGCAACTTTTATGAAGAAGCCAATGTCTTGTCACCTTCTGCAGATTGTCCACCCCACTGCTGCACGCGTGCAGTTGTGTCGTCGACCTACAATTGAGAAGAGTTAAGTGATTGAATGCAATGAAAGTCTCTAAATTCAATCAAGCTAGTTATGCATATAAGAAACAAAAAGGGTGAACATGCCTTGAAGTTCAAAACTGATCAATATCAACATGAGTGTTAGAATGAGAAGTAATACTTACCTCTTTGTTCCAATTGGTTTTGTAAAGTATCCCCAAGAGCAGCAAGGTCTGGAGGAGAATTCCACATATCATACCTCCCCAAAGTCCCTATAACAGGAAAAAACAATCAGAATCATTAGAAAGAGTTATCTATTTCTCTCTATAGTCTTTCAGTTAAAAAAATTTATCTTCTGTCTGTCAAACAGTCAATGAGTCATTGGATAGAGAAGTTTATCAAAAAGAGGTATTTAAGAAGGAATCAGCGATGACATTAATGTTGTTCACTCAAGAGAAAACAAGTAAGGACCCATTTTCTTTCTAACAACGTTTTATTTTGTATTTGGGTAGATGGGGATGCCATTTGATTGAGTTTTCCTTTTTAATCATGACAGAGAAAGGATGGAAGCAAACTAGAGAGAATACATTTCGGAAATACTTCAAAAGATGTTTTTGAAAATTTCCAGAATTTTCAAAACTTCCATTATGTTTTCACTAATGTTTATTCTATCAGTGAACATAGATACAGGAAACATTAGAAGGAAACAGGTTCGAATATTTTCCTTCTCGTTTTTGTTGATCCAAATGGAAAAAGTGTTTGTTTTACAAAATTTATAAAGTTCTTTGAGGGGGTTTAGAAACAAATATAAATAGAATAATGAATAGTGAATACATTACCTTAACCCCCAATTCTGCAACATAACCAAGAAGGTACCCTAACGGAAGCCCAAATAAGTAATAACAACCTATGTTGATGTAAGCCACCAAGGCCTGCCATCCACCTCCGACAGCAACACCTGTAAGAAAATTTTCAAATTTGTGAATAGGAGGATAAACCAAGGGGGTGATCTATACCCTTCATGAAGTAGACAGTGAAAACGGTAACAAATACATACCCGAAATCACAGGTTGAACGCTGTTTAGAACCATTGTGACGGCAAGGAGACCTCCTAGTTTTGCAACTGCCACTTGCAAAGTCTTGCTATTGGTAAAAATGATGGCAAAATAGTTCTTGGTTAGCAAAATAACACCCATGAAGAATATTCCCATGAAAAGAGATTGAATGACTGTCACATAGACGGAGTATTTGGCAGCTCTTGGATGTCGAAGTCCAAGTTCATTGGAAACTCGGACACTGAAAACAAGAAAAATTACAAAGGTGAAACAAACATGAATTCAGAAAAACCTATATGCAATTATGCATCCATTGCTAATAATGTGAAGTTGTTATGCATATTTAAGAAGTAGTCACATAACACGATTGGACTCGTAACAAGGACCTTGACATCTAGGTGCCTTGGAATTTTGTTCAATCATAAGTTGGAATAACTAACAATAGTAAGACATAACTTCCGGATGCATACCTTATAGCTGCATTTACTCCAATGAAGATCATGCCTTCCCATCCATTGTAATTCATGCTATAAAACATCATTGAATGCATTAGCAAAAGATTATGCTATAAGCGCTTATAAAAGCTTATACAAAAGAACACATGGTAAGCAGTTAAACTACAATCGCTTCATTAAGCTGTTTATCCAAACAACCTAGAAAATATGATCTTACCATATAGAGATGGAATCGACAGCAATCACCGCATTATCAAGGTGACCAGCAAGAACAATGAGACTCATCATATACCAAACTTCAAGGCAAAGCATAACAGCCGAAGCAATCGATAGCCTAACAAAGGACCATATATCCTTAAAAGCCATCCACGACAACCCATTCCATCCATCCTTACACCAACCCACCACATAAACAAGTTGAGCCAACGTAATTCCCCAACTCGTGACATCGAATGCAATCGCTGCACCGGTTAAGCCTAACTCGAATACATAAATCAAGAGCCAGAGCAAGCCAATATGCGAAATTAGAGCCACTAACCCAATCCATGCAATGACATTAACCTTACTCTGAGCTTGAAGGAACTTTTGTGTTGGAAAATTGAAACAAAGTGAGAGAAATTGAGGAATTACTAAAAGTGCAAAACTTCCAGCAAGATCAGCCATATCCTTCTGTTGGCCAAGAAGTTTCAAAATCGGAGCAGCAAAAATGTATATCGGCAAAAGGAATAAACTCGTCACAAACAAAATTATCCACGACCGTTGCATGTAAACACCAAGCATTTGAACTTGTCCAGCTCCAAAAGCTTGACCGCAGAGCGTCTCCGTCGCACTCCCCATACCTAACTACAGATTTAACAGAGTACCATCAAAAACTGTCCATAGAAAACAACATTTAGTTAACAAGTACAGTTTCTATCTCTATACACTTTCCTGTATTCAAGCCAAGTTTTCACGCTATGATAACATTTAATCAATACACATCACAAAATTGAAGCAAATAAAAAAACCAATGGAAGTAATAAAAATATATATAATCAAGATTATACAGAAATAGCAGACAAACGGACACCAACACTTACGTGTGAGTTTTGGTGTGGTGTTTCTGGTTTCGGTGTTTCATAGATAATTATGGAAAAGCGTTGTAAAGGTGAAAAAAGAGACAAACCATGAAGCCAAAAGCGAAAGTGCCAATGACAGAGTTAATGAGAGAAATAGCAGAGAGTTCAATATCCCCGAGATGACCAACGAAGATATTGGTGATAGAGTTAACACCGTATTGGCACAAAATGTTGAAAACTATCGGCAATGCAATTTTCCATATCCTCACTGTTTCAATCGCGAAAACCTTTCTCGCTTGTTCAAACCCTTTCACTTCCGCGTAATCACCGTCTTCCTCCAACAACGCCGGAGATTCGACGGCGCCGTTGAGCAGAGGAGTGTGAGCGTCCATGTCAATCACCGTACACGTGTATGGCGGTGATTGACGTTAGTGTTGAAGGTAGAGACTAGAGAGTGAGTAGTTTATTTATAGTCACGAAATCGAAGAATCATTTAATAAACACTTGCTTTTGTAGGTGTTGTTTCTAAAGAGTCCATGCAGGAGTTATTAGGGTAGGGTAGGTGAGGCTAAAAAATTAAAAAATGCGAAAGATTATTTTTTAAAACAGGTAAGGAGTCAAAAGAAAATTACAACGTTACCCAAATGTGGGGAAGGAAAACCCTAACTATAGCTAAGACTCACAATAAACATGATTTAATGTTTGTACAAATTTAATTATATGGTCCTTATTTAAAATTGTAGTTTCTTTTAATTTTATAATTTTTTGTCTAATTGACTCGGACTATTGAATCAGACTGAGTTCGAGCTATTGAGCTGAATCTAATTATTCATGTGATTTCATTTACTGAAGTTTGAGTTAGATAAAAACATTCAATAGAATTTATAGTCGAGAATAAGTGAAACTACTCAAATCCATTATTATTTTAATTGAATTATGGTATAATATTACAAAATAATAAATATAACATAAATTAAATATTGTCACAGTCGACTACATGGATCAAATTTTATCACGTTTTATTAAAAACCGTGTTTTTATCTAATTTGTTGATTTTGAGATATTTCTTAATAGTTTCTCTTATAGTTTTTCTAGGTCTTCCTCTATCTACAATTGTTTGAATCTTCTCCTAGTCAAGAGAAATATAAGTGGATGGGTGCAATGGAGAAAAATGAAGTCCTTGAAGAAAAATCAAACATGGGAGCTTGCTCAAATTCCTAAGGGGAAAAAGGTCATCGATTGTAAGCGGATGTTTAAGATAAAACCAACAATAATAGGGGAAAAAAGGAAAGGGGAGAGTTCAAGTCTCGTCTTGTAGCAAAGGGGTGCTCACAGCAGAAAGGGATCAATTATGATAAGATTTTTCTTCAATCGTTAAACATACTTCTATCAGGGTCGTGTTAGTTTTGGTAGTCAGTCAAGACATGTATTTAGAATATATGAATGTGAGACAACATTTATTCACAGTAATCTAAATGGGCAAACTTACATGAAACATGCAGAAGGGTTCAGTGATACTAGACATAACTGACTAATTTGTAAGTTGAAGAGATCTTTGTATGGTTTAAAATATACTCTAAGGCAATGGTACAAACACTTTTGTTCATGCATGCTTTAGATTGGCTACAAAAGTTGTGAGTATAAGTGTTATATTTATATTATGAGCTTTGATGATGACTCTTTTATTTTAATGTTACTGCATGTTAATGATATGTTGATTGATGTTAATCATTTACATAATGCAAATGAACTGAAAATCATGTTGACAAGTGAGTTTGATATGAAAGACTTAGGTGCTGCTAAGAATATTCTTGCTATGAAAATTCACGAGGATACGAGTGCTAGAAAGTTATGGCTCTCTCAAAAAATTCATGTTAAAAAGGTGGTAGAAAAGTTTGATAAAAGTAATTTGAAGATTGTGAGTACTCCACTGGCAAATCACTTTAAGCTCTCATTGAATCAGTGCCAAAATACATATGCAAAAGATGAGTATATGTCAAAGGTTCTTTATGTTAGCGTCGTTGGTTGTTTAATGCATGTCATGGTCTGCACTATACTTGATTTGACACAAGTTGTAAGTCAAGTTTGTGTGTTTATATCCAAGTCAAGAAAACGTCATTGAGAATCAATCAAGTGGATTTTTAGGTACTTGAAGGGCACAATGATTTATGGTATCATGTTTAGTAGTGAACAATGTGATCTTTCAATTGTAGGATATGTTGATTCAAACTATGTTTGTTATATGGATGACGTGAGGTCTACAATATGATATGTCTTTACTTTAGCAGGAGGATCTATTTGTTGGAAATCATAGGTTCAATCCATAGCGGTAAGGTGGACAATTGAAGTGGAGTACATGACAACATGTGAATCTTCCAAAGAAGCCTTATGGCTTACATGATTGGCGAGATAATTTGGTGTTAAACATGGTGGAGTTCGGTTGCATTATGAAGGTCAAAGTTTCATCTATTTGACAAGTAATCAGGTGTATCCTGCTAGAACTAAGCATATTGATATGGGGTTTCACAAGATTAAAGAGTTACTTGCATCTAGACATATATTACTTGAAAATGTTCATACTTCAGAGAATACAACCGATATTCTGACTAAGCCAGTCATCAGTGACAAGTTCAGACATTGCTTGAACTTATTACATTTTCTCAGTGTTAAGCATGAGGTGTACCTTTCCAGTTTCTAGGATGCGATCATTTTATAGGAAGTCCTTATAGGGGTTTGATATTCATCAAGGTAGAGATTGTTGAGTATGACTTATATTGTGGAAAGTTTTGTGGGTAGGTGATTGGAGGATGCAGGGGCTTCAAGGGTATTATCGTAAACTGGACCCTAGTATTATATACATTGCTTGTAACATTGTAACCCTGATGAAACCTAATTATTTGACAGAAATAAATTGAACTATAGTTGCTCTATAATAGTATATGTATGCTTCATTTGCTGAATTGTGTTAACAAATATCAAACATGTTCATTGTCTTTTACTTTCATTTTTGTTTAATCTTCTATATTTGTTGTTATTCTAACAATAATTTTATGTTATATTTATGTGATAGTCCAACCACAACATATAGAGAATATGCCAGAGCTGGCGGATGTATGGCACATTGGTTTGACTGAATCTTTCTTCGAGATATAACCATACATCGATACGGCACTGGCTGCATGAGAGATGTTATTATGCAATTATGGGTTTCATGAATTTATAGTTCATGCAATAACCATGGAATCAACCTTCTCCTAATTTAAAAAAATCATTTGATCAAGATGCGGACTTGTTATGCTTCCATTAACAAATTTGAACTTTGTCTTTGCTTGCAACATTGTCCTTATAGATCGAGCCCGATTTTGATAGTCGTCTCTTTTAAGAGGAACCATGAGTGTCATCGTTCCTTTATTTATTTTGTATCTCTTCCCTCTTCTGGTATGATGATCATCATTGTGAGATACATTATTCTTTTCTAGATCAATTCATTATAATGTCATGATAAAACTATCTAAAGGTTTAATGAAAAGACAATGTGAGTTCAGTAATGTCCATTACATGGAAAAGTTATTACTTATATAAATAATTCAATTAGTAATCAATATTCATATAACTCCTCATTCATATTAAGAAAAATAATTAGAGAATATATGCATGCTAGTGCATAAAAAAGTCTAAGACTGGTCTCTAGCCTATCATACGCTTATTTTTAAGCCTGGTCTTTCCTAAGGCTTGATTAGCCTACTAGCCTATTTACAAATTTATTTCATTTTAACATTTATAAATAAACAATTCAACTAATGTTTAAATATACTAAAAAATTAAAATACCAATCAAATCAAATGATTGTTTTCATTGACTTATTTGAGTTTATCTAGTAGCATAAGTTTGTTGATACTATTTGTTTGAGAGAACTTATGAAAACAACTTATGACATTGTTCATAAGGTTTTTTCAACTTATTTTCATAATTTGTTCTAGATAACTAAACTTTATTTTATATTTTAATTAAAATTACAAAAATACAATATAATAATAATGATAAATTTATTCATATTTAAATAGACTGATTTGGTAGGCATATAAGACTTTTTTTATGGCATGTGACCTAACCTTGTTAACTAACTAGGTTTATAAAAAAGTTTAGGTATCTTCTATTTAAAAAAAGTCTAGCCTGACATATATAAAGTAGGTCATAAGTCCTTATTAGTTGGTCGACCTATTCTCACTTGGTCGGCATATTCTCACCCCTAACACATACACAACTTTGATTTACCTCTAAAATTATTTTATATATGACTACTATTTAACTACATGAAAATATTTAATTGTTGTATAAAAACATATTTTTTATTTAATTATAAATATATTAATCAAATTTTATGTTATATTTATTTTAATAATAATATATTAATTATTTTATATTTTAATAACACTTATTTATTTTTTAATAACAAATATAATGTATAAATTAAAAAAGAAAACAAATAAAAATAATGTTAACGTTAATGTGAAAGCAACGTTGTGTTAGGGCTTTCTTTCGGCGACAATCTCATTCATGCATGTGGTGGTCGAGGAATAACTCTCTTTCGGTGGCGAAGAGAAAAAGGATGGGGGAATCCAATCAGGGTGGCACAAATGGGGGGAACATGAAGAACAAATTGAGTTTAGGGCTAGACATCAAAAAGTATTTCGACCAGAAGCTCAAGGACCTGATAGGTATACAATTTTGGCACGTCAAGAAGAAAGTATGAGCGAGAGTTTCATATGAAATGGACAGAATCAAAGGAATATTAGGTATCTGACAGATTTCCACAGAGCTATAGGTAGAGTGGGTGGCTTCCGTGATGGTGCAATTCATAATAGGTTTTGGTAGGCTCATTCCAGGAATGTTGTTGGTAGGGGAAGATCACGTATGCGTATGGCTTTGAGTAATGTAGAATCAGGTAGTCGGGCAACAATGGCTTCTTTCTATTTTTTAAATTTTCCTAATAATCTTCAGTATGTGGAATTATGAAAGGAATTAAAGGTATATGGAATTTTATATGATATTTTTGTTTCTCGAAATAGAAATGCAATGGGTCAATTGTTTGGTTTCACTCGATTTGCTAAGGTGATGGATGTGGAAAAATTGAGCAAAGCTTTAAACAACGTTTATTTCGGAGATTATCGATTGTGGAAAATTTTTTGAGACATGAGAAAAGAAAATATTCAAGGGAGAACGGGAGATGCAAAGTCGAGTTTAGGATTAGTAGGAAGAAGGAGTTGAAGAGGGTGAAGGAGGAAACAGTCAAGAGAGAAGATGAAAAGGAAAAACTCAGAGTAGTGATTGGTGAAGGTGTGGTAAGTAAGTAGTTAAAGGAGAAGGAGAATGACATGTTTCTTAGTTCAAA